TGACTCCGTCCACTGCTCTACTGACTGACACCGCCCACTGCCCTATTGACTGACACCGCCCACTGCCCCAATTGACTGACACCGTCCTCTGCCCTATTGACTGACACCGTCCACTGTCCTACTGACTGACACCGTCCACTGCTCTACTGACTGAAACCGTCCACTGCTCTACTGACTGACACCGTCCACTGCCCTACTGACTGACACCGTCCACTGCCCTATTGACTGACACCGTCCACTGTCCTACTGACTGACACCGCCCACTGCCCTACTGACTGACACCGTCCACTGCCCTACTGACTGACACCGTCCTCTGCCCTATTGACCGACACCGTCCACTGCCTATTGACCGACACCGTCCACTGCCCTATTGACTGACACCATCCACTGCCCTATTGACTGACACCGTCCACTGCTCTACTGACTGACTCCGTCCACTGCTCTACTGACTGACACCGCCCACTGCCCTATTGACTGACACCGCCCACTGCCCCAATTGACTGACACCGTCCTCTGCCCTATTGACTGACACCGTCCACTGTCCTACTGACTGACACCGTCCACTGCTACTGACTGACTGAAACCGTCCACTGCTCTACTGACTGACACCGTCCACTGCCCTACTGACTGACTGACACCGTCCACTGCCCTATTGACTGACACCGTCCACTGTCCTACTGACTGACACCGCCCACTGCCCTACTGACTGACACCGTCCACTGCCCTACTGACTGACACCGTCCACTGCCCTATTGACTGACACCGTCCACTGCCCTATTGACTGACACCGTCCTCTGCCCTACTGGCTGACACCGTCCTCTGCCCTATTGGCTGACACCGTCCACTGCCCTATTGACTGACACACCGTCCACTGCCCTACTGACTGACACCGTCCTCTGCCCTACTGGCTGACACCGTCCTCTGCCCTATTGGCTGACACATCCTCTGCCCTATTGACTGACACCGTCCACTGCCATATTGACTGACACCATTCACTGCTCTACTGACTGACACCGTCCATTCTTAAGGTAGGCTATGTTTGTATTTTTACATTGACATTTGTTTTATCATATGTTTCTATGTTTTCCTTACTATTTAGTTAGGCCTTGCCAGTTAATTTCTTTCTTTTTTTTATCCATTTGCCCTATATAAAGTGTGTGAAATATACTGACAAAAAAATTTTTAATATATCAATAAAGTGATCATAATAAAAAACAAAAATAAATCCGTTTATCCAAAAAAAAGCCAAATTTGTGATAAAGTGATTAAAACATAATACAGTTTCAGAGAGAACAAGCGGCAAGTACATATGCCAACGGCTGATACAGGCATTTATCACTGAAAGCGGTTTTTTTTTTTTTTAACAATGTGAGTGCATTGATTAAGATTTGTGGAATAAAATAAAGTCTGTTTTAAGGATAAAGCACTATGTTCCTATTGCCTCCTTTCACACTGAGGAATGTATAAGGAGGATTGTGCTAGTGATTCAAAGCAGCTGAAGGAGGGAGAAATCCTTGCAGAGATATACAGCGTTTAAAGGGGAAAGGTGTTTGCAAGAAGTTCCCAACATCCATCATATACTGCAGCAATCCTAGTAGGTTCCAGGATATGTGAACCAAAAGTTTATTAAGTCTGTATAATAGGCTTAGAAGGAGGTGAGCGCACATTTAATTTCACTGAAGGATTCACAGAAAGTCACTGTATTATGTTTTAATCACTTTATCACACATTTGGCCTTTTTTTTGGATAAACGGATTTATTTTTGTTTTTTATTATGATCACTTTATTGATATATTAAAAAATTTTTGTCAGTATATTTCACACACTTTATATAGTTGGATAATAGGAGCGCAACATTTATAGATATATGGTTTAAATTGCACAGTTGGAGTATGTGTTAATTGTTAGCGATCCCGAAGGTTTTTTTGTTTGGCTCCCAAGTTACACACACCTGTATTTCTTTTGGTGGTATTTGATCACCTGTGCATTTTTAATTTTTTTTGCGCTATAAAAAGAAAATATACTGACAATTATGAGAAACAATACTGCATCAAACAATACCTTCTGCATCATCAATACAAAACCTTCTCGCGTGTGTGCCCTGCATCAGTACAAAACCTTCTCGCATCAAAACCTACAAAACCTTCTCGCGTGTGCCCTGCATCAGTACAAAACCTTCTCGTGTGTACCCTGCATCAGTACAAAACCTTCTCGTGTGTACCCTGCATCAATACAAAACCTTCTCGCGTGTACCCTGCATCAATACAAAACCTTCTCGCTGTGTACCCTGCATCAATACAAAACCTTCTCGCGTGTACCTGCATCAGTACAAAACCTTCTCGTGTGTACCCTCATCAGTACAAAACCTTCTCGCGTGTACCCTGCATCAATACAAAACCTTCTCGCGTGTACCCTGCATCAATACAAAACCTTCTCGCGTGTACCCTGCATCAATACAAAACCTTCTCGCGTGTACCCTGCATCAATACAAAACCTTCTCGCGTGTGCCCTGCATCAATACAAAATCTTCTCGCGTGTGCCCTGCATCAATACAAAACCTCTCGCGTGTCAATACCCTGCATCGCGTGTGCCCTGCATCAATACAAAACCTTCTCGCGTGTACCCTGCATCAATACAAAACCTTCTCGCGTGTGCCCTGCATCGGTACAAAACCTTCTCGCGTGTGTGCCCTGCATCAATACAAAACCTTCTCCTGTGTACCCTGCATCAATACAAAACCTTCTCGCGTGTACCCTGCATCGTACAAAACCTCGCGTGTACCCTGCATCAATACAAAACCTTCTCGCGTGTACCCTGCATCGGTACAAAACCTTCTCGCGTGTACCCTGCATCAGTACAAAACCTTCTCGCGTGTACCCTGCATCGGTACAAAACCTTCTCTCGTGTACCCTGCATCAATACAAAAACCTTCTCGTGTGTACCCTGCATCAATACAAAACCTTCTCGCGTGTACCCTGCTTCGGTATAAAACCTTCTCGTGTGTACCCTGCATCAATACAAAACCTTCTCGCGTGTACCCTGCATCAATACAAAACCTTCTCGCGTGTGCCCTGCATCAATACAAAACCTTCTCATGTATACCCTCCCTGCATCAGTACAAATCTCGCGTGTACCCTGCATCAATACAAAACCTTCTCGTGTGTACACTGCATCGGTATAAAACCTTCTCGTGTGTACCCTGCATCAATACAAAATCTTCTCGCGTGTACCCTACATCAATACAAAATCCTCACGTGTACCCTGCATCAGTACAAAACCTTCTCGCGTGTACCCTGCATCAATACAAAACCTTCTCGTGTGTACCCTGCATCAATACAAAATCTTCTCGCGTGTACCCTGCATCAATACAAAATCTTCTCACGTGTACCCTGCATCAATACAAAATCTTCTCACGTGTACCCTGCATCAGTACAAAGCCTTCTCACGTGTACCCTACATCAATACAAAACCTTCTCGTGGGTACCCTGCATTAGTACATCAACCTCATGGTGTGCAATTGTGGAGTAAATGATAGGATATTGTGTTCTGAATGGTAGGGCTCAGTGGGAGGCATAGCTGCACACTGGTGAAGCAGAACACACAAGCTCCTACTAGCAGCTCCTTCTGAAAAGCTGTGCTGATGATTGGACACACATGACTGTACATGACGGCCTGGTCCTGCCACTTACTGTATGAGAGCACGTTGGAATACGCAGAGCCATGCGGGAAGACTGTAACATTTCAATGCATGCCTGAGAAGCAGAATTTCATAAATGTGACAGCGGATCATCTTCAGGGTTAAAAAAAAAAAAAAAGTTGTCAGTAACTATATACTCTTCTACAGCTTGGACCAATGTCAGTGTGTACAATATATATAGGTATGTACAGATGTGCCACCTTTGTGGAGGCTGGAAATCACTGTAGTAGTCATTTATGTGCAGTTAAAGTGGTTGTAAACCTCAGACATGAAATATGAACAAAGCATATCCCTCTATAGTGTGTACGTGTCTCAATCCAGAGCACCAAGTGTCATTTCTGTCTGCTGCCTTCTTCCTCTGTTATCAGCATGAATCACAGTTTTCCTGACACCAAGAGAAAAATGATGACAGGGGAGGGCACAGCCTGTGATTGAGAGCCTCAGGAAACAGGAGCACCTGTGAGCTGTGTGATGGTGGTGTGTGTCTCTTCCCTCCAATCAGTTCTCAGAGCTCTCCTCATTGATGTAACTTCAGTTCCCCGCCCCCTGCTTTTCAGTGCTGAGAGATTCTGTGTGAATTCAACACTTTGAATGGATATAAGTGACAGATGGCTGCAGGTAAACAGGTACAACTTATGTAGGAGGATTTGTTTCCTCTCTGTGTATCACCTGAGGCACGTCACTTCACTGGGTATATGGAAGGGTTTACAACCACTTTAACAGCTTCCCGCCATGTACTGCGGCCGGGCAGCAGCTACAGGCAAAGCGACTTTCGGGTATGTCGCTCTGGCTGTACTAACACAGAGCGGAGCTGCACACTCCAGCGGGCACACAGTGCTCTCCACCAGCGACTGCTGTGTCCAGCAGACACAGCGGAATGAAGATCCCGGTGAACGGAACCCGGTGACCATGTGATCGCTATCGGATCACATGATCAGAATGTTAGCAAACCTGCTATGAATCAATATGATTCATAGCAGGACTGCTACTCTTCCTAGTGAGCTGGGAGTGGCCCACAGCTGTCACATGATACATGGAGCCAATCACAGCACCCTGTACCATGTGACCAGCTCCAGCCAATTACAGATCACTATCTTGAGCTGCCAAAAATCCTAACTCATTTTTGACAGTTCATGAATGGGTTCATGACAGCAAGCCTTGCATTGCAGTAGAAATGATCTTCATTTCTCCTGCAAAGCAAAGTGTAAAAAAAAAAAAATCCCTGATCACCCCCCCCCCCCCCAACAGCAGGTTACTATGGTAACCTTGTACTATTCTGATAAAAGTATAAAAAATAAAAAAGTTTTTAAAAAATAAAATAAAAAATAACATTATTGAGAATTAAAAAAAAAAATTAAGTTTTTTTTTAACTACTTGCCAACCGCTTACCAGTATTTTGCAGATGAGCAGCGGCTGGGGGTCTATTTTGCGGTGTGAACACACCTGCGCCCCCCACTGCCCCCAGTCAGTCCAGGGAGAGAAGAGAGAACACTGCACTGAGTAAAAGCATTACATTTTACCCCCCCCCCATTAGATTAGCACATTTAACCCTTTGATTGCCCCGTCACCCAGTCAGTGCCATTAGTACAGTGTCAGTATATAGAATTTTTCACTGATCACTGCGTTCCTGCCTCTAGCGACCTCAGATAGCATCAGGGTCAGTTAGTGCCCCACCCAGCCAGGGTCAGTTAGCGTTAGATTGCCCGCACACTATCACACTCACACTATAGGTCGCTGATCACCCCCATTACTAGTATAGAGTTTGTATGGATCTATATAATGTTCATGAACAGAACTATACTAGTGCTTCCTTTGTATAGTGTCCCCAAAAACACTGTGTTAGCAGGATCGGCCCCGTTTGCTGCCAGCACTAGCGTTTAGCCCCTCCACTGTTTTTCATGGAAGATTTGTACCAATGGATTGTGGGCCAAAGCAATTTATATGCACAATACATAATCCCCCCCCAAATTCAGCTCTTGCCAGACAATTCACATGGAAACCTATTAAGGTTTCTTAATTTAAAACTTTTTTGGGCCTTCAAAATGGGCATTACAGAAAAGAATGAATTGCGGTCATATTGGTCCACAGACCTGATTCATCATTGTATGCCCGTGTTCTCTGCTGTTACATATATGCCCAACATGGACCAGCAATGTACTGGTACATCGCTGGACTTTGAGTGGTTATACCGGGATGATGCCTGCAGCTACAGGCATCATCCTGGTATCGTTTTTTTTCAGCTGGCGATCGGCTATCATGTAAAAACAATCTTAGCCACTAATTAGCCTTTAGATCCCTTTTACAAGCAGGGGGAAGGGACTCACCCACCCCTCTTGCCGCCTTCCACAGTTTTCTTGGGCTCTCCTGTCCCACAGAGAAATCCGAAAATGAAGCTGGCAGTTCCGCTGGCTGACCATAGAGCTGATCAGAGACCGGAATGGCTCCAATCTATGGTCCTTGCTCTACCTCAGAAGAAGTGCGTGAGCATGAAACGCGTCAGAGGGAGCCTGTGGATTTCGTTGACACTACGCCGCCGGTGCCATGTGGAGGCCCGGCGGCCACCTATAATTTTAAGAGGGTCAGTGGGTCACTTTCACTTGCCACCTGATTATATGTTTTACTTGGTTTTTTTAAATAAATTGAAGTACTACACTACACTATGAGTATCTCTCTGTGTTCTCTGTGAGGGGTCTTTCTCCCAATTTCACAGCCACAGAGTGATTTCAATTCCAGCCCTGGTTCCACTGAAGAGGAATATCCTATCATGGGAGCTTCCTGACCTGCAGGATTTCGTTTTCCCACAAGAGGGCGTTATCGTCATCCATTTCAGCACATATCCATTTTCTGACCAGAGGGAGAGAGGGGAATCTCCAGGATTTCTTACACACATGCGTATTTTAAATGCGCTTCTGGTTAGTTTGCATTCTTTCCATTGGCACTAGGAATTAATGAGCACCTTTTCAGGACTATTATTGTGTTGATTTGCATGACTTGATCATTTTACAGCGCTGCATTTTTATATGTATATGTTTTACTGAGGATTTTTATATGCGTTTATCCTGGATGTTCAGCTGCTGTTTCTTTGAGAGCGCTCACTGTGTGTCTTTTACCTATACATCTCTATGGTCTTAGGTACAAGCATTTCATCATTTCCATTTCGCCAGACTTTAACAGCACCATTTTTAAACTGGGAAAGCATCTGATCACACCGATCTTGGTGATCAGATGCTTTAAGGGTAGAGGAGATATTTAGAGTCTAATAGACCCCACATTTCTCAGAAAAGAATACCTACTGCTATCACAGGGGATATTTACATTCCCTTTGATAACAATAAAAGTGATTTAAAAAAAAAAAAGGGACAGTGTAAAAATTAAAAAAAAAATCAAAATGAAAAAAAATATATAAATTAATCACCCCTGCCTCTCCCCCTTTCCCGTGCTCGTCCACAAAGGCAAACAGAAACATTGGTCCTGTGTCAGTATGTAAACAGAGATTGCACCATGCATGTGAGGCATCACTGCGAACGTCAGATCGAGGGCAGTAATTATGGTACTAGACCTCCTGTATAAATATAAACTGGTGACCTGTAAAGGCTTTTAAAGCATCACATATCGATATTAAAAATCTATGTACTTTGTCGCCATTGCACGGGCAAGCGCAATTTTAAAGCATGTCATGTTTGGTATCCATTTACTCAGTGTAACATCATCTTTTATATCTTATCAAACAATTGGGCAATATATTGTGTTTTTGTTCATTAAAATTCTAAAAAGTGTATTTTTCCCAAAAGATTTGAAAAATCTCTACACAAATAGTGCATCACATAAAAAAATGTCAACACCCACCATTTTATTCTCTAGGCCCTCTGCTTAAAAAAAATAATGTTCGGGGGTTCCATAACAAAAAAACAGTTTTTTTTTCATATGAATAAAAAGTGTCAGAAAAGGCTTGGTCTTCAAGAGTGGGTAATGTGTGGCATAATCTTCTAATGTTGGCCCCAGGTGCGGACTGACCATTTGGAAAACTCGGGCACTGCCCGAGGGCCCGGGGTCAGTAGGGGGCCCCATGAAATGCCTCTGGTACCTTTTCCTAGGCATTTTTGAGTTTGGGCAAGGACACAGGAGCCCCATGATCCCCTATTGCCCTGGGGCCCCATGAGTTGTCAGTCCGCCCCTGGTTAGCCCTGAAATTCCAGGATAGTAGAAGCCCCCGCCCAATGACTCCTTTTTGGAAAGTAGACACTCCAAGGTATTTGCTAAGAGGCATGGTGAGTGTTTTGCAGATCTCCTTTGTTGCCACGTTTTTAGAAAAATAAAAATAGAAAACAAAATTTATTTTTTCTTTTCTTTTTCTAAACCCTGTGACAAAAATTATATTTGTAAACTACTCACCATGCCCGTAATAAAATTCCTTGTCGTGTCTACTTTCCAAAAAGGGGTCAATTGGGGGGGGAGGGTTACTATCCTGGCATTTTAGAGCCTCCGGGAACTGTGATAGGTAGTGCGGAAGTGATATGAGGAAATGAGCCCTTTGAAAGCCTGAGGTGGTCATTGGATTTTGGGGGCCTGTATGTAGCTAGGCTACCAAAAAGTCTCTCACATGTAGTATCCCTATACTCGGGAGAAGTAGAATTTGTTTTGGGGTGTTATTCCATATATAGCCATGGCTTTCATGAGCAATACATAATTTAATTGACAACTTTGTGTAAAAAAAAGTGTCATTTTCGAAATGTTTGTGGCAAAAAATAAAATGTTCCATGGACTCAACATGCCTCTTTGCAAAATCCTTGGGGTGTCTACTTTCCAAAAAGGAGTCATTTGTGGGGTGTTTGAACCATCCTGGCATTTTAGATTCTCCAAAACTGTGATAGGTAGTGGGGAAGTGATATGAGGAAATATGCCCTTTGAAACCCTGGAGGTGGTCATTGGATTTTGGGGGCCTGTATGTAGCTAGGCTGCCAAAAAGTCTCTCACATGTGGTATCCCCATACTCGGGAGAAGTAGAAGAATGTGTTTTGGGGTGTTATTCCACATATACCCATGGCATGCATGAGCAATACATCATTAAAGTAACAACTTTTTGTAAAAAAAAAATAAATGGTCATTTTCGAAAAATTTGTGGCAAAAAACTTTTTTAAAAACTCAACGGGGTTTATTTACTAAAGCTGGAGAGTCCAAAATCAGACTCATTTTCGCATAAAACCAATCAGCTTCAGGTTTCATTGCCAAAAATTGAACAAGCTGAGGTTATTCCATGGTTTCTCAACATGGGAGTCTGATTTTGAAATAAATAAACCCCAACATGTCTCTCTGCGAAATCCTTAGGGTGTCTACTTTCCAAAAAGGAGTCATTTGTGGGGTGTTTGTACCATCCTGGCATTTTAGATTCTCCAAAACGGTGATAGGTAGTGGGGAAGTGATATCAAGAAATATGCCCTTTGAAAGCCTGGAGGTGGTCATTGGATTTTGGGGGCCTGTATGTAGCTAGGCTGCCAAAAGGTCTCTCACATGTGGTATCCCCATACTCGGGAGAAGTAGAAGAATGTGTTTTGGGGTGTTATTCCACATATACCCATGGCATGCATGAGCAATACATCATTAAAGTGACAACTTTTTGTAAAAAAAAATAAATGGTCATTTTCGAAAAAATTTGTGGCAAAAAATAAAATATTCCATGGACTCAACATGTCTCTCTGCGAAATCCTTAGGGTGTCTACTTTCCAAAAAAGGGTCAAGTGGTTAAGCTGCACTCTAGGAGTTTGTTTACTCCCAAATTCTTTTTAGTTTTGGATTGAATGTCAAAGGATTGGAGCCCTTGTTTCATTTTTTTTGCTGTGTCCCTGGTGGAAAGATTCTCCATTTGCTTGTCCTACTAATTATTTTCACTGAGGCAGACAATAAGGCGAAATCCAAAATATTTCACCTGGGTAATTCATATAATGGGGTCAGTTATTCTGGTGACAACTCTCTAAGACAAGTCAGTTTACGTTGTAAAGATTTCCTCTCACTTCCTGTTGTGTCTTTATAGGGGATGAGCTCAGGAGTGTTCAGATTCTACTCTGAATCCCACTGAGTGATCCCGCCAGGAAGCCGTCATCTATGCAGAGCCAACTTTTTTTTAATTATAACTAAAGGAAAAACTTTCTTTGTAGTTTTTGGATAGAGAGGAGAGAGATTAGAATCTGTTGGCTTTTTATTTGCTTCTAGTTCCCTGTTAGGCAGACTCATCCTATTTGTCCTGTTTACGGTTATAATTGAATATGAAAGAAAATCCCAGTCTTTGGGTTGTCCCCAGAACAGGAATATAAGGGAAATCTTCCTGTGGGGACACTAGTTCTGGTGACAATCAGGGATTTCTCCACTTTGGGGAGATTTCCTCACTTCTTGTTTTGGCTATGGGACAGGAAGTGAAGGGAAATCAAACAGGCCTACTTCTTGACCCTCATCAAGGCCCTGTCCTCCAATCCTCGCCGACTCTTCTCTGCCTTCAACTCTCTACTCTCTCCACCCCCCCCTCCACCCAGCACATCACTCACTGCCCTTGAGATTGCCAATCACTTCAAAAACAAGATTGACACAATTCGCAAGGACATTGCCGCAACTCACACACCCTCTCAACCCGTCCCCTCTCACACAGCTACCCCCTTATCCCCCCTCCCCCTCGACATAAACCGCAGGGACTTCGTCGCTGCTCAAACTCTCTCCAACCCCCTTCACCCTCACTCAGCTACCCCCTCATCACCCCTCTCCCATGGCCCCACCACTGCTCTGACCTCCTCTTCCACCCCACCCTACATTCCTCATACTGAAGCTCCCCCCACACTCCGCACCTTTGACCTTACTACCATCGAGGAAGTCTCCAAGATCCTCTCTGATGCCCGCCTCACCACCTGCCCCCTCGACCCTATCCCCTCACAACTCCTACGACCTTCCTCCTCCTCCATCCTACGCTCCCTCACCCACATCTTCAATCTCTCCCTCTCCTCAGGCACTTTCCCCTCCCCTCTGAAACATGCACACATCACCCCCCATACTTAAAAAGCCCTCCCTGGACCCCAATGACCCGAACAACCTCAGACCCATCTCCCTGCTCCCATTTACATCTAAACTCCTCGAGCGCCTAGTCTACACCCGCCTATGCTCTCACCTCAACGACAACAACCTCCTCGATCCCCTACAGTCCGGCTTCCGTCCCCTACACTCCACCGAAACCGCCTTACTCAAACTCTCCAACGACCTGCTAACCGCCAAAGCTAATGGCCACTATTCAGTGCTCCTACTCCTTGACCTCTCTGCGGCCTTCGACACAGTCGACCACCCCCTCCTCCTCAAAAAACTACACTCCCTCGGCCTCAGAGATTCTGCTCTCTCCTGGCTCTCATCCTACCTGTCACAACGCTCCTTCAGCGTTACCTATAATGCTACCACCTCCCCCTCACTCCCCCTCTCTGTTGGGGTCCCTCAAGGCTCCGTCCTTGGGCCCCTTCTCTTCTCCATCTATACCTCCTCCCTTGGCCAACTCATACACTCTCACGGCTTCAACTACCACCTCTATGCCGACGACACACAAATCTATCTCTCAACCCCCCACCTCACCCCCTCGGTCTCTGCCCGAATCACACACCTACTGAGCGACATATCAGACTGGATGTCGCTCCACTTCCTTAAATTGAACCTCTCCAAAACCGAGTTTCTTGTCTTCCCCCCAGCCCGGACACCACCCCCCATTGATTTCTCCGTCACATCCAACAACGCTACCATCAAACCCGCCCTGCAGGCCAGAGTACTGGGTGTCATTCTGGACTCCAACCTATCCTTCCAGCCCCAAGTCCAATCTTTAACAAACTCGTGCAGACTCCACCTCCGCAACATCGCCAAAATCCGCACGTTCCTAGCCCCAGAAACCACTAAACAGCTCATCCACTCCCAAATCATATCACGACTCGACTACTGCAACTCCCTCCTCACTGGCCTGCCTCGCCGCTGGCTATCCCCGCTTCAGTCCATCCTGAATACGGCTGCCAGACTCATTCACCTTTCTAACCGCTCCATCTCCGCCACCCCCCTCTGCCAATCCCTCCACTGGCTTCCGATTGCGCAACGGATCAAATTCAAAATCCTAACGCTGACGTACAAAGCTGTCCACCATACTGCCCCAAACTACATCACTGGCCTAATATCCAAGTACCGCCCAACACGCACACTCCGCTCCTCACAAGACCTCCTTCTCTCTAGTTCCCTGGTCTCCTCCTCCCATGCCCGCCTCCAGGACTTCTCCAGGGTGTCACCCATCCTCTGGAACTCCCTGCCCCAACCCATCAGATTATCACCTACTCTCTCTCCTTTAGGCGCACCCTGAAAACCCATCTCTTCAGGGAAGCCTACCCCACCCCCTGCTAACTTGCCGACCTCCTCCACTCTTCCTACCACTCCATCCCCCACAGCTATCTCCTCCTGTGCCACCATCCCCTCCCTCCTAGATTGTAAGCTCGAAAGAGCAGGGCCCTCGAGCCCCTCGTGTATCACATTGTATTGGTATTGTTCTGTCACATGTTCTGTCCCCCTTTGTAATGTACAGCGCTGAGCGAACTATTGGCGCTTTATAAATACTGTATAATAATAATAATAATAAATCTCCCCAATGGGACACAGATGACAAAAAAATCTGACAAGGGTTATAACCCTCCCTTAATGGAAACAGTTTTAGCCATAGTCACACTTTTTCAATGTGTTTATTTTGCATTTTAACTTTGAAGCAGTCCTCATGCGTGCTATGTTGACATGCTAATTACATCACACTTCCTCCTTTCCAGGAACAGCACAGTATCAGGCATTATCCAGGACAACCTCTCAGGCTGACTACCGACCCCGCCCCTCTTTGGGAGGCCCTCTGCTCTCCTCATAGCCCTGCATTGTTCACTTGGGCTGCCTTCCCAGCGCCTGAAGCGTCCTCTCCCTTCCCCTTTCATCCTGAATCCCAGCAAAGAAAGGTAGGCGCCCCGGGCGACACCAACCACCCCACCGAGGGCAACCCCCGCCCGCCGTGAGTCCCTCTCCATTGTAGTCTGGGCAGGCAGCTGCCAGGGCCGCCTTCCTCAGGCCCCCGGCCGTGTAAATCCCTCCGCTTCCTGTGCCTCGGCCTCATTAGCTCGGTGAGGCGGCAGTGGCGGGGCGGCGACTCCTCTCTCTTTAACCTCACACCGCGAGCAGCGCTCAGGCCCCGTGACCGACCCACTGCGGAGACCCTGGAAGGTGCGGGGGAGGAGTGGGAAGTGTCCCGCTCAGGATGGGGGCAACCGGGCACGTTTCCGGTCCCGGGCGGATCGGGCTCTTTATGAATTGGGGAGGGGTGACAGGGGGCAGCCTAGGGGGTGAGTTCAGTGAAAAAGGGGGTTTAGGAGGAGAAATTACAATGGAGGACCCTTCACCAACGGGAAACAAAGGGTTAAGACTCAGTACATGCAGTGTATCCTTCCATACATAATGCATCCTCCATATATACAGCGTAACCTTCCATATAGTATATACAGCGTATCCTTCCCTATATATATCCTTCCATACATAATGCATCCTCCATATATACAGCGTAACCTTCCCTATATATAGTGTATATACAGTATACGTGCATCCTTCCCTATATACAGTGTATATACAGTATACACAGTGCATCCTTCCCTATATACAGTGTATCCTTCCATACATATATGCATCCTCCATATATACAGCGTAACCTTCCCTATATACAGTGTATCCTTCTATAGACATTGTATACACAGTGTATCCTTCCCTATATACAGTGTATCCTTCTATAGACATTGTATATAAGTGCATCCTTCCCTATATACAGTGTATCCTTCTATAGACATTGTATATAAAGTGTAGCCTTCCCTATATACAGTGCATCCTTCTATAGACATTGTATATATAGTAGTGTATCCTTCCCTATATACAGTGCATCCTTCCATACATAATGTATCCTTCCCTATATACAGTGCATCCTTCTATAGACATTGTATATACAGTGCATCCTTCCCTATATACAGTATCTTTCTATAGACATTGTATACACAGTGGATCCTTCCCTATATACAGTGCATCCTTCTATAGACATTGTATACACAGTGGATCCTTCCCTATATACAGTGCATCCTAATATAGACATTGTATATATAGTGTATCCTTCCCTATATACAGTGCATCCTTCCATACATATATGTGCATCCTTCCCTATATACAGTGCATCTTTCTATAGACATTGTATATACAGTGCATCCTTCCCTATATACAGTATCTGTTCTATGCATCCATTCCCTATATACAGTGCATCCTTCTATAGACATTGTGTATATACAGTGTATCCTTCCATATATACAGTGTATCCTTCTATAGACATTGTGTGTGTATATACAGTTGTATCCTTCTATAGACATTGTGTATATACAGTGTATCCTTCTATAGACATTGTGTGTATATACAGTGTATCCTTCTATAGACATATATACAGTGTATCCTTCTATAGACATTGTACATACATTGTATCCTTCTATAGACATTGTATATACAGTGTATCCTTCCCTATATACAGTGCATCCTTCTATAGACATTGTATATACAGTGTATCCTTCTATAGACATTGTATATACAGTGCATCCTTCTGTAGACATTGTACATACAGTGTATCCTTCTATAGACATTGTATATACAGCGCATCCTTCCCTATATACAGTGCATCCTTCTATAGACATTGTATATACAGTGCATCCTTCTATAGACATTGTATATACAGTGTATCCATTCCATACATGGTGTATTCTTCTATAGACATTGTACATACAATGCATCCTTCTATAGACATTGTATATACAGTGTATCCTTCCCTATATACAGTGCATCCTTCTATAGACATTGTATATACAGTGTATCCTTCCCTATATACAGTGCATCCTTCTGTAGACATTGTATATACAGCGTATCCTTCCATACAGGTGTATTCTTCTATAGACATTGTATATACAATGCATCCTTCTATAGACATGGTGTATACACAGTGTATTTACCTATATACAGTGCATCCTTCTATAGACATTGTATATACAGTGTATCCTTCCCTATATACAGTGCATCCTTCTGTAGACATTGTATATACAGCGTATCCTTCCATACATGGTGTATTCTTCTATAGACGTATATACAGCGTATCCTTCTATAGACTATTTACATACATTGTGTGTATATGTATGTATGTATGTATGTATGTATGTATGTATATATACACACTATATCCTTCTATAGATACATTGTATTCTTCTACATATACACTGTATCCTTCTATATACACCAGGGGCCGTATGACAACTCATGGGGCTCGTGTCCTTGCCCAAACTCAAAAAAGCCTATGAAAAAGATACCAGGGGCATCTCATGGGGCCCCCCTACTGACCCCGGGCCCTCGGGCAGTGCTCGAGTTTCCAAATGGTCAGTCCGCCCCTTGATATACACCGTGTCCTCCTATAAACATTGTATCCTTCCATATACATTTGATCCTGGTATCCTTGTAGATTCATTGTCCCTGGAGAAGATGATCATTAGCTCTGGTAGGACTTCCATATAACGTCACAGAGGTTGTGTGTCAGAGCAATACACCTGTGTGAGAAGGCTCTGCTGGAAGCAGGCCCCCCCGTCCCAGCATGCAGTCAGTGAGTTTAGGGGTAGGCTTAGTTGTAGGGTCAGTCCAGTGTATTCTGTCGAATTTCAAGGGTGTCAGAACAGTACACCTGTGTGAGAAGGCTCTGCTGGAAGCCGGTTCTCCCTATTCCTTTCTGACATTGCAGCATGCAGCCAGTGAATGTAGGGTCAGTTCCCAGAATCACACGGATTGCTGTCAGTGAGTGTTGGCTTAGGCTCATGAGTAGGACCTGATCTGTTCTATCACATAAAGTGTGAAGTTTGAGTTGGCATTAGAACAGAAATGGGAGGAAAATCTTCCTGGTGACACGAAGACATCTGTCTGGGTGCTATCCTCTTGCATTGCCAAGATATCCTGTGTTTTTTTTTTTTTTTTTTTTTGACAGGAAGTAAAGGGAAATCTCTCAGGAAATTGGAAGTGGGGGGGGGGGGGGGGGGGGGGGGGGGGCGTAAACACATCAGTGTCAATCCTCCCCTAATCTATGTAAGATGAGGGAAAACGTAATGATTTTCTGCCTTTTTTTTTTTTTCATACTGAATTGGCAGACATTAAAGTCAAGGGTGGCCTTGTTTGCACCAACCAGCTTGAAGGAAGCCAGCACCCAATTGGATGCAGCAGTTGTTCTGGCTGTCTGAAAACTCGCTGGCAGCAGAGATTCCTCCATCCACAATTGTACAGTTACCATGTAACCCACCTAGTAGAAGTGTATGTGATGGCTCCCATTTCGCCAGGTCCTGGTAGAGGTAATAGTAGCTGGTCACGTACAAAGGCTTCAACTCACATGGGCATTGGGCACCTGTCATGCATGCATCCTCTTCTTGCGATTGTGCCTGCATCTTCCCCAGGCTAGTGCAGGCAGCCTGTAGAAGTGGATGCAGAAGCAGCGGCTGCATGGACACGGCAAAGTGTCAGAATCTGACAGAATCAGAATGCATGCTACAACTGCGTCCACCTCTATAGGCTGCCCGATGCAGCAGCAATAACAAAAAGGGCATGCACACGGCACCTGTTATGTTTGCCAATGCTTCTTCAGGAGAAAGATTAGAAGTGAAGAAGCATTTTGGATGAATGGCAAAAGTCAGCATTACAGAAGAAGGTGACCATTGATGATCTGACTTTATGCGTCTTGTGCAATAACATGTCAGAAATCAATGTGCAGGTTTCTTCAATTGGGTAGAAAATCTTAGTGAAGGGAATTATCCTTTGCTGTAGGGAAGAAGATCCAGGTACAGTGCAAGCACTGCTGTCATAGGGCGAGGACCACGGTGAGCCCTGGCACTTGTGTCTATGTTCCTCACCATCATCCTTGCCTATTTGAGGCCAGCCTTGCAGTATGGATATTGTACATATATATAATAGGATTTCCTATTGCTTGGGTTCCCTGTGCAGCACCTACTGTCTGTTTGCATGGCACTGTGATGGTGATGCTGGGCTCACTCATGCAATGCACCATCTGCATAGGGTAGCTTACCATTCACTTGCAATATTGTGTGCCCCATTATGGCTGAGGTCCTCCATGCACTCCCTCATCCATTCACTTCCTAGAATTTTTTCATCCAGATGTGACCTGTCCGGCACATCTGGCTACTTATACTGTTGATGTAAGCAATGACACATTCTCTCCATGCTTCCTGCCACTCTCCAGCTATTTTCACAGCAGAAAGTTCTATTCTGGTTTGGTGCCACTTTCTTCAAGTGTCTAGCTCAGCACATGTGACTTCTTTTGTAATCCTCATACAGCAATCTTACCAGAGTGGCCTTTCTCAACCAGTTTTCCGTGGAACCAGGGGCGGACTGACAACTCATGGGGCCCCCGGGCAGTAGGGGATCATGGGGCCCCTGTGTCCTTGCCCAACCTCAAAAAAGGTACCAGGGCATCTCATGGGGACCCCTACTGACCCCAGGCCCTCGGGCAGTGCCCAAGTTTCAAAATGGTCAGTCCGCCCCTGCGTGGAACGTTAGAGTTCCTTCTGAGGTTGTTGGGGGTTTCATGAGCAACTTCTGCCTCTAAACTAAACAGTCCATTGTTATCAATGGCTACTTATCTATCTGTCAGACCTCTTTCGCTTGGATGGTAAAAAAAGGTGGTTGGGTTGCGGTTTTATGAGGGCTGTTCTCATGCTGTTGCCTGCGGCGCTGCACGTTGAGCTGACATGCAGTGGCCTGTCACACAGCCTTTCACATCAATGGGGCCGCTCCACAATGGCACATTACACCTACTGCTATGACAAAAGCAAAAAAAACAGGCATTCAGGAGGCAGCAGAATCTCCTCAATAGCTGACAGCAGCTACTTTGCCACTGTTTGACAAGCGATCCACCACAGATTACTTTTCAGACAACAGGCTGGTGTGAATATAAGTTAAAGCGGAACTTAACCCAAAAGGAAAGTTCTGCTTTTCTTCTTCCTCGTTCCAGCACCCCCCGCTAACATATTTGGCACATTTGTTCTTTAGGGCAAATGGGTCCCTGTTTTCAGAGGTACCTGCTCTTTCTTCTCACCAGATATCTGCGGTGATTCCATTGGAAGTTCTTCCCCTCCCAATAGGCTGCAGGTCCATTCACAAGGCGCAGTGTGGAGCCAGCTGTGAAGCCACAAAATCACCGCTGGCCTTCCGCAGTTAAGATGCTGACACTGGGGACGTTAAGATGGCGCTGGATCCCTGGACAGGTGTCTGATTATGAAACATCAGCTGCTACAGTAAACATGGCTGGAGAACCGCTTTAGGAGGGTGCTTTCTTCTCAATGGCCACAAATGAGCCTTATTCCTTATTACTGTCAGCTACTGTGAGCTATATAATTGTTAGCAGGGGCTCCCTGGGCCATCACAGGAATCTACTGTGAGCTATAGTAATTGTTAGCAGGGGCTCCCTGGGCCATCACACAAATCTACTGTGAGCTAATCTACTGTGAGCTATAGTAATTGTTAGCCGGGGTTCCCTGGGCCATCACAGGAATCTACTGTGAGCTATAGTAATTGTTAGCCGGGGTTCCCTGGACCATCACACGAATCTACTGTGAGCTATAGTAATTGTTAGCAGGGGTTCCCTGGGCCCATCACATGAATCTACTGTGAGCTATAGTAATAGTATTTAGCAGGGGTTCCCTGGGCCATCATATGAATCTACTGTGAGCTATAGTAATTGTTAGCCGGGGTTCCCTGGACCATCACACGAATCTTACTGTGAGCTATAGTAATTGTTAGCAGGGGTTCCCTGGGCCATCACATGAATCTACTGTGAGCTATAGTAATTGTTAGCAGGGGTTTCCCTGGGCCATCACATGAATCTACTGTGAGCTATAGTAATTGTTAGCCGGGGTTCCCTGGACCATCACACAAATCTACTGTGAGCTATAGTAATTGTTAGCCGGGGTTCCCTGGACCATCACACGAATCTACTGTGAGCTATAGTAATTGTTAGCCGGGGTTCCCTGGGCCTGTTAATTCAAGGGTTCCGTTATGTTAACAAGGTTGAGTGGGGCCTTAGACTGAAGCGATTGTTCCAAGAGTTCTGGTAATCATTCTAGTTTTGGTCTTTTCCCCTTTTAGATGCCCTCAGCCACAAGCAACAAGGCTGTGCCGGGCTCCGGCGAGGCACCAACCGGTGCTGGGAATGTACAGAGCGAGGCCGTAAAACAGATCCTAGTGGTCCTTGATAAGAAGCTGCGGAACCTTGAAAAGAAAAAGGTTTGTACTTTTTTGAGTTTTGAAATCTGCGAATGGTAAACATTTCAACGTGTGCTTACTGTTAAAATGAAAGGGAGAACAATGTTGTTCTCCAGATTACAGGAAAAGAATTAAAGCGGAGCTCCATCCAAAAAGGGGAAGTTCTGCTTTAAGGACTGCTCCCCCGCTCCATATTAAGGATTGGCACCTTTTTGGGGGGAGGGAGCGGGTACCCCAATTTGACAGGTTCCCACTTTCGGTCTGATCGCCTAGCCGATCGGAAACAGAAGGTGTCCCCTCCCTCCCTGTAGTCTTTTGGGACATGTGACAGGTCCCAGAAGACTACAGGACCACTCAGCGCAGTGCTACTTGTGCATACGCAGTGGGCACCCGGCTGTAAGGCTGCAAGCTATCACAACCGGGTGCCCACACTGAAGATGCCGGCCTGGAATACAGGACGGCCGGTGAAACGGGCTGCGGGGGACACACCCGAGGGACAGGTAAGTGGCTGTTTTTTTTAAAAGTCAGCAGCTACAGTTTTTGTAGCTGCTGACTTTTATTTTTTGACAGGGTGAGTGGAAATCCGCTTTAAATTTTTATTAAACTTCTTGATGTGTTGTAGCACATGTGCTCGTCTCCTCATCACTGACTGTGATCCACTTTCACTGGAAGTTTCTGGGTCTGTTGGCACATTAATCATCATGCAGGCCAAGTAACATGATCCTGTCATGAGGCTGTGAAACGTACCTGCTGTGTGATGGCTCTGCATTTCCGTGTTGGAGTGTTCCTTGTGTACATGTTTGCTCTTTAAAGCAGTCGGGTAGCACACTTGTCACTGCTGTCCTGCTCCTCACATCTTGTCTTTTTCCCTCGGTCATAGCACTGCTTTGATAATAAGTCACCCGTGATTTTTCCGGTGCAGCAAATGAAAGGAGTGAACTTGTTATCTTTGCTGGATCCTTTCTACCTAAACATTTACAAACCAGAAAACCTGCTCAAAAGATAACAAAAAAAAAAAGAAAAGTTGGCTGAACGGCCATGTTTACAAAACACGTGTTTGTTGTGCATCTACTTGGTCTTGCATGATCCAACAGGCCCTTCTTGTATTGAAAAGAGAAATGAGCAATTATATCTCTGCAGTGTTTTTAAAGGACAATAGATCTCATGAGTGTCGGAGCTCCAGCAGATTTGTAAAGAACATGAGACATGAAAAGAAAACGAGGTTCCAGCAGTCGGCTACTCCTAAACACGAGGCTCTGGAAGTTATCTGCGCCGTTTACAGACTGGTTGGACTTGATGTAGGAGCATAATAGGGTGGGGGAAGGGGTGAAGCTTTTTGCCGTTGTACATGAACTTGAGTTAAAATCTTTAGCGTTTTTCTGCTGGCTTTATCAGTACATTGTAATTTAATCCCTGACTGCCCTTGATGTTTGGAAATATGGAATTCTTCACTCTGTATTGTAGATTTGCCTATAAAATGCTACAATCTGTGCTGCTGAACTGCTGAAATCTAGAGTGGCTTGTAAATGCAATTCTTCATATCGCTGTGGTGTCAGTCAGGAGAGGGGATGGGAAATACGTGTCTCCATATCACAGTGGTGTCTGTCATGATGGATGGAAAATATGTTCTTTCATATCACAGTGATGTTTGTCACACTAATGGTCTGTAAATACAAGCCTCCATGTGGCAGTTGGTGAATGAGAAAACGTGTTCAAGGGTCTGATCACCTGACTTGGATCCTGCTGCCCCAGGATCGCTCGCCTTAGAGAATAGATGCACTTGCAAACCAAGAACACAAATTCTTTGACCTCTTTAACCTCCCTGGCGGTATGATTATTTCCGATTTTTTTTTTTTTTTGTGCTGAAAGCGGTACCATTTTTTTGCATGGAAATATGTAGTTTTTTATTGTAGGCTGTAATTTTTAGGGAATAACTCACTGAAATCTGTACAAACGAGTCTAGTAAACATCCCGGGTAGGATAAAATTTGAAACACGAAATCATAAATTATTTAATAAAAAATACTCATAAAAAAATAATATAATAAATTTAATTCAATAATATAATCAAACCAAAAACACTGAAATTTGAAATACAGAGGCAAATTCGCACATCGCTGAGAAGTCGCAGAATCGTTTTCAGTGTCTGACGAATTTCCCCCACAAATTATCACTCAATTCTGCAAGTGGTTCTGATTTACTATCGCTGTTCTCTAGCCGGTCTAAAACCGCTTTTGATGTAAAGGGACGCTTTTTGGACGTCATGGACTTTTCTACGTTTCCAGGCAGAAAGAACAGTAAAAATGCAGGTAGGACACAGGACAAAGCAGTAGGGACAAAGGTATGTGAAATGCACACTATGCACACTTTTACTATGTAATAATCATTTTAAAAAAAAAATTTCAAATTTCCCGCCGGTTCTGGCGCCCATACATCCCGACATCACAGGGACCGGAACAGGAAGCCGGATGCCGGCATCGGCCGGAGGAGATGGCTGGGGACGCTGCAGGGGACACATCGTGGGAGCGAAGGACAAGGTAAGTGCTGCAGGGACCCCCAGAGCAACGCCGCATGGTAAGCCCGAGTGTAGCTCGGGGTTACCGCTTGTGGTACTCAAATTTTACCCCGAGATACACTCGGGAATACCGCTAAGGAGGTTAACCTAAATACTCCACCCTATTCTGCCACAGATGCCTACTTAAAGAGGAGCTCCAGGCTCCACCTAAAAATTTAAAGTGATTCTAATGGCTTGTATTAAAAAAAAGTCACCTGCTCTGTGCAGTGTTTTGCACAGAGCAGCCCTAATCCTCCTCTTGGGTCCCCCGCTGGCATTCCTGGCCCCTCCCTCCTGTTGGGTGCCCCCACAGCAAGCAGCTAGCTATGGGGGCACCTGAGCATGCACACTCCCCAGCCGCTGCTCTTTGCGTCCATTCACACAGGGAGCTGTGGCTCGGCCCTGTCCCCTCTCTTCTCATTGGCTCCTCCTGCTGTTTCAGCCAATGAGGAAAGGGAGTCCTGGGATAGCCAAGACTCCAGTACACCTCACTGGATCGAGGGGGGCTTAGGTGAGTATTGGGGGTGCTGGGGGGGATGCTGCACAGAATGCATGAAGGTAAAAAAGTGTAAATGTTTGCTTCTGATTTTTAATATAAGGACACGTACCTGTCCAGCACTGTCCTCACCCGGGATAGTTCTGCACTAGCCTCTGGGTTCCCGATGCTGGAATAGCACGTAAGGGAAACCAGAAGTGAGACCTTGCAACTTCACAACCGGTCTACTGCGCATGCGTGAGTCGTGCTGTGCCTTGTGATTGGTCTCGTAGTGTTCTTTGACCTGTGAAGTGTGCCAGAATACTGCAACGGGGGGGCAAAACTGCGGTCTCGGTTCACCTCTGCGAACTGAGCGGAAAAAAGGTGCAAAACCAGGTTCCTGCTCCTACCCAAAAGTGCCAAACGTAGCAGTGGAGGGTGCATGTGAATCCTCACCTTGTAACCCAACCTACTTGGTGTATATTAGAAATGAAAGGTGAAACATTTCTGTATAGAAACAAAAAATTAAATAGTTTTCTGTTTTTTGTGATCTCATGCCCTTTGTTCTAATAAATGGCTTAGAGAGGTGGGCGAGGAGACTACGGGGGGGGGGGGTGTTATGGGAGAGAGTGCAACACATTGCTCTGGCTGTGCAGGGGAGTCATCTCAGCACAAGTCTTAACCCTTGGAGGACGGACAGGCAGGCTGTTCACCCAGCACAGCCAGAAAACTGACCATGCTGAGATGGGATGTGCTCTCATGCCTAGTGGGGTCAGTGTTTAATAGGAAAGCAGAGGGACTGGCAGGAACACCAGGGATTTCACATAAAGGAAGCAACACAAAGGGAACAGGAGACTTTCATACAAACAGATGGTACAGCAGGCACAGATCAGGAATATGAAATATTGGGGTAACACTCTTTAATTCCGTTGCATGGCACGCTGCACTGATGTATCTTTCAATGGAAGCTTTTCTGCAAAGGTAGGCAGTCTCAGCACTCCGGCTATTTGGAGACTACAAATCCCACAATGCCTGTGGCTGGCAGTCTTGCATTTGTAGTTCTACTATGGCTGGAGTGCTGAGATTGCCTGCTCCTGTCTTAGAAACGTCTGTCAAACCGTTTCCGGAGTGTCTGCTGCCTTGGGGAATGGCCTGTAGAAGTCTAGGGGGACTTGCAATGCCAGATTTGTAGGAATAGAAGCATTGTGGTTGGCCCTGACATGTGGGAGGGGCGGGCAGAATAGGTGACATTCGTTCCTTCACACTATTACTTGTGTACAATGCATAGAGATCCCCGATTAATGCATCTCCCTACACGGACAGTTGTGAAAGGGCCTTTGACAACCTATGATGTCCTTCTTTATTCTGTGTGATTGGTGGTCACCTGTCTGGGTTTTACAGAAGGCATGTCCTTCATTATGGGTGGAGTCACACCTGTGACCTGTGTGGTGGTACCATACCTGACCCCCCAGATACACCTGCCCTTCAGTGCACTGTAATCCCCTGTTCTGCATGCTGGGGGAGGGGGGTGGTTGACCTTCATGGTTTAGCATGGGGGGGGGATTGACTGGTCATGGTTCAGCGTGGGTGGGGTATGTTGACGTCGTGGTTCAGCGTGGGTGGGTGTGTGACGTCGTGTGGTGTCAGCCGTCATGGTGGGGACGGGTGCCTGTGTGGTTCTGCCGTCATTGTTCAGTGGGGGGGGTGCCTGATGTGGTTCAGCATGGGGGGGGGGGGGGGTTTGACGTCACAGCTCAGCGCGGGGGGGGGGGGGGGGGTTTTTGACGTCGTGGCTCAGCGCGGGGGGGGGGGTTTTGACGTCGCGGCTCAGCGTGGGGGGGGGGGGGGGTTTTTGACGTCGCGGCTCAGCGCGGGGGGGGGTTTTGACGTCGCGGCTCAGCGTGGGGGGGGGGGGGGGGGGGGGTTTTCGGGCTCAGCGCGGGGGGGGGGGGGGGGGGGTTTGACGTCGCGGCTCAGCGCGGGGGGGGGGGGG